TCATTGAGGGGAAGTTCATCCTGAATGAGATTAGGAATGGTCTAAAACCAGCCGCAGATGTACCCCAACCCGCGTGTCCTGAAGATACCCTGGTCCACGAAACAGACTAGTTTTAAAACCTGTGGGAAAAATCCTGTCTGACAATTGGTACCTGTGGTGGTGAACTGCCAGAGGGGTGCCCCCACCTTAAAAGACTGTATCTCCACTTGACCTGTAGATTGTTGGAACGAGAGACAGGGACAGACAAAGGGAAGACCAAACTCAGAAGGGAGAAGCGACATAAAAGAGAAATACTGAATGACTTAGCAACAGCACATGGGGCAGAGGTATCAACCATTAATACCCTTGATTTGGACAATAAACTCTGGGTCCTGACACCACAAGTAAAACAGACACCCCACAAGTAAAACATGCACCCAAACAGAGTGGTGGGTGCGTGAAATGCGCTGCCGGCGGTGGTAGTGGAGTCAGATACATTAGGGGCATTCAAGCGACTCTTGGATAGACACATGGATGATAGCATAATATAGGGTATGCAGGGTAGTTTGATCTTAGAGTAGGATAATAGGTCGGCACAACATCATGGGCCGAAGGGCATGTACTGTTCTATGTTCTATGTTCTAGACTTTGGACACAATTAATGAGAATAGCCGCAAGATGCCGAAGGTGATCTATTTGGGAATAAAGCCAGAACCTTTATGGTAGCTATGTTGGAAGGACATGTCAAAACAATCAATCAGATAATAAAAGGGAAATTGGAAGATGACAGCAGGCAACAGAACCAGACCCTGTGCAGTAAAAATGGACAGTGGATGTTAGAACAGTTGAGAGAGAAGCTCGATCAGGGACAGGTTCCATCCTGGATCAGTGACAAATACAGCATTTATTTACGGGAAAGAAACACCCCGGATTATCAGGCCGTCAGCTCAGGCAGTTGACCACAGTCTGGTTCAACCACGACTATAAAGGAACTCTTGGGAAAGTGTTTGGGGTAGTATGAGGACTCTCAACAATCACGAACAACAGGATTGGAGTAAGGGTGTTTGAAGTAGAAAACATAGGCACTATTCAAGAGGGTCTATGGATAGGATATGATGGCACCTTGTCGCACACAGTGAAGAAGGAAGGGAGGCTCATAGGCACTACTCTACATGGATGTCAACAAATTAACACCGTGATAACATGCCCACATACCCAATTTATTTGAATGAACATGCACTATGTGGCTTCAAGACAAACACCAGACTAAAGTGTCCCATAGAGTCTCGCAACCTGGACACTGATATAACCCTGGTAGCCGACAGGGGAGAAGGGGAATATTACCTCACAGCCTGACTTAACACATATCAGTATGGGAGGGCACAATGCGATGTCACCAAGACCACTTTTTGTATTAGGCCACACATATCAGTCAGGGTAGGCCGAATTCAGCTGCTAAATATACACAGAAGGGAAAGGGTGGAATTTAATGCAAGTGAGGAACTCCAGCAAACTTTGGGAGAATACCTGGAGAAGTACGACACTGGTCTCAAATCCCTGCCGGAGGAGTTACACCAAATCCAAACCCAACTGGTCACGGCCCATAGAGCCTTCACCAAGGTAATACAGCAGGCCAACAATGTCAATGAACGAAAAGAAGAAAATAAAGTTACGACTTGGTGGGAGGATTTCTGGGACCGAGGCTCCAACATACAAATCCATCTCTGGGTTCGTCTCGTGTCACTCTTGTCTGTGCTGTTAATCCTGGTTACCCTGGTATACCTCATCATCCACACTGTCAAGGTCACCCAATGGAAAAGAGAACTGTCTCAAAGACTGAGCAGAGAGACCTCACTCAATTCACGGTCTCCCTGAGCCTATTAAAAAGGCACACTATTGCAACACTATTGTTATATGCTCTTACATTGAAATTACCTAAGTCTGCAAACTAACTGTTACTATGCACTTGCTTATTTCGTGTCTGTAAATTAATTACATCAAATTTATAATTCAATTAACCAGGCATTTTAATTGCATCAAATCACTATACATTACATATCTACTAATCGTTTTAAAGCATCCTATTCTATGGTTTTGAGAGATATTGTATTATGGGCTTCTTTACCTTTGTATCATAAAAGTCCTTTTTAATCGACCCATTCATGAGCTCTCCATATTTACTACTACTACTGTGTTCTGGTTCATTCATAACCTTTACTAACCACCCATTCACATGTGCTATATTTACTACTAATACCATGTTCTAGTTCATTCATAGCTTTACCACCCATGCACCAGCGCACTATGTTACTATTACCGCATTCCATTCATCGAACCTCGGTCTCAGTTAGTTGTCATTTCCTAACATTCTATCTGTAAGAGTTCAATTGTTTGAGCGTATGTTGAACTTTGCTTGAGCTGGAATGATCATACAGTCACCACACAGAAATTGGTCTGTGATCAGGTGATCCATCGCGCTTCACATTCAGGATCAAGAGGAGGGAGTGCAGACGGACGGGCCACTCAAAATGGCAGAATTGAATAATACACCAGGCATGTTGGGAAATCAAGCCAAAGAATCTGGGCAAAGATACTGAAATAAACACCCGAACATTATACTTTTATTGGGTGTACTCATAACACACCATCTTCACATGCACCTGCATCTGGAGGGCCAAACCATAAGTATCCTGGATACATATAGCCTGGTCTGTCCGATGTTTCTTGTGTGTTGCTTCTGGTGATGATGACGACCCTGATGAAGTAGATTCTGATTATGTTTCGTGTGGCCGTGGTTGTCCTGAGGGAAGATGAAGGTTGTTTCTGTTGTTATCCTTGTTTAATATCTAAATAGTTTGTAACATGAGTAATGCACGCACTCTAGCTGCCCCCCCCACTTATTTTTTGAATGAAGACCCATATTTGATGGGGTGGTTAATCCCGTTAATCCCATTAGAATTTACAAGAATGTGAATTGGTCCCACAGGACCAGAAGTGTGGAACTGCATACGAGTGCTGACCATCAGAAACAGTTGTACCTCAGCTGGGGTCATTGCCAGGAACTGTTTCATCCTCAGGTCCGGCTCACTGAGCCATCTTTGAGCTGGACTGGGGGTATGCTCGGTTAAGATAGTCAGGGAACTTAAACCACCAAAGTATAGTCAAAGTACTGGACTGCCCACAAGACTGCGAGGAGGTGTCGTTCAAACTTGGAAAACCCTTGTTCCACGGGCTGTAGGACTCTGGAGCCGAAAGCCTCTGGGCCTAGCCTACCGTGTCATTCCTGTAGCACAACGGCAGCTATTGTACGGTCTGTGGCTGCAACTTCTAGGGTGTATGGTAAGTCAGGGTTGGGAACTAGCAAGGCTGGTGCTGTTGCAAGGGTATGCTTTAAATTTGCCTTTGTATGTTGGGATGTCCAATTCCAGGCAGCGCTCCTTTTCAGCAACTCTGTGAATGAGATCGCTTTGGTGGTGAACCCATCAATGTGGTTCTTGCAGTATCCCACTAGACCCAAGAAAGATCAGAGTACACTAACATCTGGGGGAAGTGGGAGTCGCACCATGTAATCTATTCGCTTTTGGTCATAGGTGATTATTGTTCCCAAGCATTTTACCCTATGCTGTAGAATCTGTGCCTTTTGCAGGTTGATTTTACAACACGTAACATGCAAGAGGTTAAATAATTCATCTAGGACTTGGATGTGTTCCTCCTTTGTTTCAGTTTATAAGAGTAGGTCATCTACATATTGGATTAGGCAAGCAGACCGGGAAAACTTTTCTAATGCTTTGGCTAACTGTCTGTGGAAAATCGAGGGTGAGTTATGGAACCCTTGGAGTAAACAGGTCCAGGTAAATTGTTGTTCCTGGAAGGTGAATGTGAATTTATACTGACAGGACTGATGTAAGGGTATGGACCAGAAACCGTTACTAATATCAAGTACTGTGAAGTATTTTGCTTGCGGGGTTTGCTTCATTATTGTTGTTGGGCTGGTGGCTACAGTTTGTGCAGTGAGGCGATGACTTTATGGAGTTCCCAGTAGTCAATAGTTAAGCGCCATGAACCTGACAGGCCAAATTGGAGCATTATTAGTGGGGGCTACAGGTTGCAGCACTCCTCGTCATGAAAGGCTGTCAATCACCTCATCTACCTCCCCCTCTGCCTGTCTGGGGAAACCGTGTTGTCTTTGCAGTTTTGGGTCTGGCCCCTTGATTATCACTTCTTCCAGTATATGCCCACAGCCATGTTTACGCTGGGCAAATACCCCTTTGGTGTTTCATAATCACTTCTTGCATAGCCAGATCCTTGGTCATTGTTAGGGGATTAAACCAAACTCTCCTATTGTACTGATCCAATTAAAATAATTTCCTGTTGAGCGGATGGGTGGCACCCTGTCAATCAGGGGCATCTTCTGTACACAGAGGATGTGTTCTGTGTCTGCGGGGGGGGGGGGGGTTAACTAAGACAGCAGGGTATTGGCATGTAATGGCACCTAGTTTAATTTCCAATAGGTTCAGTACTGTACCCCTCCTATGTATGGCCAGTAGATTCACTTAAAACAATAGTCCCTGTGGTCCACCAGGGTGGATCATTAAATTTTGAGGTGTTTAGGGTTACACGGGAACCTCTGATGGTCATAACTAAAAAGGACCAATTCTCCCACTTTGCCTTTATGGTAACTATTTGAAGGAAACAATGCAATACTCACTGTTTTTATGCTCTTCCCTCGAGGAATGCAATCTTCTTCCTCAAAAGGATGACAATATTCCAAATGAGGTGAGCCAACCTCAACAAATGCTCATTCAATCCCAATTTCAAATGAGTTTTTAAACCAAAAATCTATTCTCATGTTCTGAACATTAAAAAAAAATTGCCCATTCCTATCTTGATTATAGAGAAAGAAGTTGTCCAGTTGGTGCAATGTCAAACTAACCTTTGCTAAAATTTGTAATATATACAAATCTAAAAAGAGAAAAAGGGTGCTTTTTGGGCAAAAGTGAAACGATCAACAAACAGCAGTGGTCATTTTATCTTTTATTAAATAGCATTATTTAATAACTTGATTTTAAATGCATTCAGAATCTCAAAATTTGTACAAAAACATTTTTCACAACTTATTTCACATAGTTCACTGAAGAAAACAAAAGTAATGTTTTAATAGATTAAAAAGAACATTATAGGTTCTAAAAAGGCACAGCCAATAGGACTGAGAAGTTGCACCTCAGTCTGGGATTGCAAGCAGCTGAGTCTTTCAAAATCCACAGTGTCCAGGTCCATTTCTGCCTTGTAGCTATGATACAGATGACTACCTACAAACAATAGGGCACTTTGCTGCAAATCTCAGGCTTCAAAATGTAGCCATCTCAGGAAAAAAAAATTTGTTGCAATGTCACATCATGACACTATCGACTGCCACAGCCAATGCACATAGATCAAAAAGAACAGTCGGACTCTGTTTATAGTAGGTTAATATGCAAAACAAAGCATCAGCAGGGAGAGCTCTTGTACAGATTCAAGGTTCTACCTGCCAAACTTGGGATATGCTCAAGAATCAATTGTGGCAGGCAAAGACTTTTCACAGCATTTTATCAGCAAACCTCTTTTCCAAATTTCACTCTCAAATTAGATTGACTAGGTGACCTGCCACAACTACACATTTTGACAGCAACACTTGGAAATTAGAAACCCGGTTTCCAATGGAAACGGTTACCAGAACCCTAAACATAACTAAAGGCCAATAAACTATTTTAATTTTCTTTGAAAACACAGTTAATCAATCAGGTCAGGTTGGCAAGTTTGTCAAAATCTTTATTGCTCCAATTAGCAGAAGATTCTGTTACTAGTCAAACTACACAGATTGGCGCACTGCTTCTAAATTTCTTCCAAAGTTGCGCATGAAAATCTGGCAGAGCCACGGTTCCACCGCATTTATTTCCCCAGCTGTAAATAAAAAAAATCTGTTTAAGTCAGTAAAACCTTCTAAATCAGAAACTTGCATAAACTGGCTATCATCCAGAACAATTAATGGATCACTTACAGGCATCAAGCACCAAGCATAACCTATAAAGGTGAAAAGACCCTTCACTGAGCGGCAACCACAATTTGATGAGACTTTCGTCCCTATCCCTCAACCACTGTACTGGTGAGAAATGGAAAAATGTCATATCAGGTATTATGGATCAGTTGACATTGAGTCTGAAGTGATTATGTGCCAACAGCACACACATCCAGTAAGAATTAGCGATAACTACCTATTTACTCAACACTGGTCAGCAGACAAATTCATGTCCATTAGTTTGAGGTAAATTTCGGTGTAGCTGTGAGTTCAATAAAAGAGCAATCTCCAGCTGTGTGGGCCTGCTTCGCTTTGGGGGTGGTCTCAATGTTCTATTGTTTGGTAACAAAAAAATTGGGAACTTGGCTGCATCCGCAGAAACAGGCTGTGAAGCTCAAGGCATTTAAAGTGCGTAATTATGAATTGCTTTTATCCTGCTCAAAACTATAAAACAGACCAGAATGCATGAAAAATTATGTACACTTTGTTAAACATGTCTATGATGCCTAAATCTGCCAGTGAGGAACAAACCACAAAAAAGTGTTTTGCCAATTATTTAAACCAAACTTAAAATTGAGAATTGCAAAAAGCCCAACATTATACAAGATGGATTTTTTTTTTAAAGAAGTGCTCACTGAATTAGCCATAGCAATACTGTTAACTTTCAAAGGTCTCACCCTCAGTTTTATATCTGACTGAGAAAAAAGCTGCCTTTCTTCTCAAAAACCTATGTTAGTTATTTTAGGGTTAATTGGAATGCTATTAACTGGTGAAGATGTGTTAAATTGCTTCCATATTGGCCTCAAGAGGGATGCTTGCTCCAACAGTTCCCAGTGCAAGTCGTTAGCACAACTAACCACCTCAAGCTAACATGCTGGATTTTCCAAGGTCAGCTCCCAAGGGTGCAGGAAACCTACAGAGGCCAATGTAAAAGCTTATGATTCAGAGCACTGACCTGGAACTTGTTAATCAAACAACTGCCAGTCTTGAGTACAGTTGTTTCAATTCAAAAAACTACATTCCAACAGAAAAAAATTCAGATGTTTACCACTGCTAGAATTTTAGGCAAACAAATTGCTGTTTAACCCCCTACAGATCTACACAGCAACGACAGGCAGGATAACCTTTACTCTAAATTATGCAAGACTGAGGAAGCATTAACAAGGCAAACTTTATTGTGCCATCTCTCTACCAGCATTTTCTATCAGAATACTTAATTCTTCAAATTCAGCCTGCAAACCCAATTAATGGACCTAAAAGGCATCAAACTGGGAATTTTAAAATGTAATTTCCAAGCCTATGGCTTCCCTGCTTTAAAGTAGGCTTTTGCAATCGCTATGCAGAGTAAATACAAGATATGCAAATTGTTTTCAATTACTTGCATTGTAAATAAGCATTTCTCAGTCAGTCCAAGACAAGTTAGTTCAGTTCTGGTGAATTAATAAAAACATCTGTGCACAAACTACTCTTCCAGCACAGCTCATCCAATTTCCTCCTCCATTTATCGATCACATCAAATCCTATGACCTCTTGAAGCTTTTCGTGATTCCACTTCTGACATACAACAGATGGGACACAAGAGAAACAAAGTCACAACTGGATAAAGATTTGCTCACCAAAACAGGAGGAAAACTGTAAAGGCCCAGAGCACATTTGAAGTGCAAGGTGGCTGAGCTATGAGCAGCTCCTACTGCTCATAACAAAAGATGGGCACAAAAAATGCTCAAGGCTAAAACAATGTCAGGAAATACCACTTCACAAAGTCCTTCAAACTTGAAACACTTTTCTGATTAAGGGAATGAAAGGGAAAACTCAGTCAATAAACAACTGGCGGTGACAGAGGAGATCTGAAGGTTTGTATTAAAAAGTTTAACTGGGTGGAAAGAACTCCGCAATCCAGTTATATGGCCAAAAGCTACACTACTGTTTGGATTGGAGAGAGGTGGTAGTTGATGAGGATAACAGACAACTAAAGACAAAAACGTACCTTTTTCAGAGCTGCCTAGCAGTGTTGTTCATTGGGAGTGAGGGGGCAGAGTTGGAGAAGAGTGGATCTGCATTGTTATCTGTGCTGCTCTTCATTTACAACATCAGGCTGAATAAAAACTGATCAAAAACAGAGATGGCACCGAGTCTGATGAGGAAACCAAGATCCAGCAACAAGTTAGACACAAATTTAGGGGCTCTAAAAGTGTCAGATGGAATGAAATGGAAGTTACAAATGAAGGAACTAGTTAATATATTGTTTAAAATGTCATAATAGTTACAAATAAAATTAAAAGGCTGTTAGCAAATTCTGTAATTAACATATCCAGTCATGGCAAACTAGTAACCAACAAATGGAACACTGAACAATGGTGCTAAATCAGAAGGAGTCAGAGGATGCCGTGCTGAAATTAGTGCTCTACCTAGACCACACTTAACATGCCCATGGTCTACACACCAAAACACAAAGATAACATTCAAACTGCAAGGGCAGTGCAGATTTTAGTGCAAGATGCCATGTTATGGACAAGTTCTACTAAGCTAAAGTGGCTAGGATTTTTTTAAATAAACGGGCAGTCCAGGATATTTTGCTGCTGCTTTTTGAGGTCACTTCCTACAATACAATGCTGAAAATCTTTTGAAAACCAAATAGTTCTGGTTGTGAGGAAAAACTAAAGAATCGTCCAAAGTGGAGACCTTTTAGGAGATATTTAAGATTTAAAACAACAAATTAGTAACGGCTAAGTAGGGACAATATTTCTTAAATTAAACATTAAAATAGGAGTGGACACTCTTATACTGATGAAACTCATTGTCAGTCCTAAGTTTAAGCTCTTCACACTGGGAACGATCAATTTCAAAAGAAAAAAAAGGTAAAGAATCAGTTGGATTCTGTGATTCAGTCAAAGGAACAGCAGGCTTTAATTAGAAGGATGACCCAAGATAAACCAATTGGGCCTCCTCACTCATCTTAATCTCAATGATTCTGCCTCTTTAAAATCACAAACTGAGGAACTGTTCTGCATTAAGTAAGAAGAAGAATAGGGTCAGACATAGAACACATCTAATCTCAAACATGTGATGAAGTCTCGATGAACATCATGGAGCAGCATGTTCACTGATTGGCCACTTCTATCATCTGTTGCACATCAAGCAGTTTCTCTCTGGGTTTGCCTGCTTTCTCTCCATTTGCCACTTCAACATTGTCAATCTTTTCCCATTCAGGAAATGTAACTGGGCGAATACCTAAAAATCAGATTTTAAAACCAGTTACATACACATAACTCAAGAATCTTTTTAAAAACCATAGCCTCTTATCACAGTAGTCTATGCACAGAAAACAAAAGAATGGAGTCAACAGAATTACAGAATATATCAAAGTGCACTCACATATATGCAAAAGATGGTTCCAATTTTCAACATTATAGTATCTCACAGATAGCACAGTTGTTTGTAGTAAAAGCTTTAGTGCTGCTGAGTGACAGGCTGAAGTTTTCTTTTGTCTTGCATTCAATCAGGACAGAATTACAAGATCAAGTCTCAAAGGAATCAACAACTTAGACTGCATGGAAAGTGGACTTTGGCAGAGAATGGAGAATCCACCGGGAAACAGTTAATCGCCAGGCTTTTTAAATTCAAAGATCAGTCAACTATTATTGGTCCAGGCATTCCCATTTGGACGCATCAGGGAAAAGCAGACCCCAAACTTCAGTTTAATCGAAAATGCACAATGTGTTCTGTTTGCAAAAGACAGAGCCCTACAAACAAACATGGCTTCTAGCCAGACAACCGAGCCACATGGCAAGCCTGACTGATAATTTTATTGTGCAGGTTACCAAGATCAAGATGGTTTAGCAAAATGCTGTCCCTCAGAAGAATCTCATCTCATCTCATGTCAGAGACCATGCTGACCCTCACAAGCATGGTGGATTGCATACACTCAGTCTGCCTGTTACACAGCAAATCCTTTCAACTGTGTGTAATATAATCCACCAGTCACTAGGGTGTGGTCTATATACCTGGCTCAGAAATCAAATACTAGTGTAATGAGCCACAGGGATCACTGCTGGAGCCTCAACAGTTTACAATTTACCTCCATGACTTGGATGAAGAGACTGAAGAAATGGTTGCTAAATTTGCTGATGATGCAAAGATAGTCAGGAAAGTGAACTCAAAAGAATACATAACACTGTACAGGCATACAGACAGGTTTAAAAAAGTGGGCAAAGATTGGGCATTAATGGCATTATAATGTGGGAGAATATTAAGTAGTTTGGCAGGAAGAAGAAAAGGAAATAGATTATCTAACTGGCAAGCGATTAGCATTCGAAGACTCGGAGGAATCTGGGTGCCCTATTACATGAAATTCAAAAAAATTAATAGGCAGCTATCGAAAGAAAATAGGAAAACTGATGAAATGTTGTTACCACTCATTGTGAGGTGAGTTGGAAACCAAAGCAGAAGTATTATGATTCAGTTAAATGGGACACAGATCAGACCATGTCTATAAGGCTATGCACAGTATTGGTCTCCTTATTTGAATATGGATGTACAAGCTTTGAAAGCAGTTCAGAGAAAGTTTACGAGATTAATACTGGAATAGGTGGGTTATCATTTGAGGAAGAGTTAGACAGATTAGGCTTGTATTGTTGGAATTTAGAAAAGAGGTGATTTGATTAAACATACTGGAGGGTCTTAAGTGTGGACATGGAAAGGACATTTCCTGTTATGGGAGGATGCAAAGTTCATTTTTTAAATGTCAGGGGCTGTCAATTTAAGATAGAACTGCGTTCATTTTCCTCAGGAGGTTATGGGTCTTTGGAATTCTCTTCCACAAAATGCAAGCTCTGAACATTTTCAAGACAGATGGATACAGGTTCTTGGTAAGCAAGTGGGTGAAAGAATAAGGGAATGTGGAGTAATCAGACCAGGTATAATCTTATCAAATGGTCAAGCAGTCGGCAGGTGAAGTGGCCTATTTGTAATGTGTAGGTCACATGTTCTGTCCACCACAACCTTTGACTGGAGGCAGACTACTACTTTATTATTATGCATCCACTATGCCTCTGAAGACACAGTGGGCCAAAGTGTTTTTCAAATATTGTGGCTTTTCTGTCCCCAGTTCTAGGTGATGTACCCACACTTTGTTTCAAAAGAATCACAAATAACCCCAACTAAACTGATCTTTTCCTCTCCTGAAGTGCAAAAGTTAAATTAAGACTTAGCCCCCACCCGAAGAAAAAAAAAAGTTGTAGGAGACTCTCCACGGATTAAGGAAATTGAATGAGGAATTTCTTTTGAAGTTTCTCAATTCATTGTGAAAATGTTTTAAATTACAAACCTCGTTGTTTAAGCAAAGCCTCGATCACTTTAGATCCTCCTTTTGAAGCAGACACATCTAGTAATCCTGATCGTACATCCTCCAGCACTGTCTCAGCTGTTTCAAAGCCATCATGCATTGTGGTTACAATGACTCCAGTCGGTCCCCTTTTTACCCAGCCACTGCAGTAAAGGCCTGGGAAGGGTATAGAATGATTTACAGTTTTTAAATTGTCTAATACCCAACGATTAGAATTGCTTCATACTATTTTCAATCATACATATTATTCCATTTCTAGGCTTTTTCCACTGCCTCAAAAATATCCTTAGTTTAGCAGAGCTCCCCCAAATTCCTGGTACATTTCCTTCTTCAAAACCACCCAGTTGGTACTCTTGAACTAGCATCGCCAATTATATTCAACATTTCAAATTCATCCTGTCTGCAAAAGCCATAACACCTCCCAGATGACCCAGTACAAACTTGGCAGTAATTCACTCAGAGTGGGCATTGGTGATGCCAGTGTTTATTGTTCATTCAGGTGTGCCAAGGCATTGGACTGACTCCATAATACAATCAAGTGGTCTATTAGGTTACTTAAGGAGGCAGTCAAGAGTCAATCACTGATGACTCGGAGCTGAAGTCACATGCAAGCTAGATGGTGGCAGCTGAACTGTATTAGAAAGGACCTTAGTGAGATAGGTTTGGAAAAAAGAAAAATTTCAACATCCTCATGGGTACTTTTGCTAATTCAACTTTGGTATTCCCTGCTTGAAGTTCAAGCTTTAACACGGGCTGTGGGAGGACATCAATTGTGAAAAGTCTCTGCACTATCAATTCAGTAAAATAATCACTAAGCTAATATACACAAGTTTGTTGCATACAAAGCTTAAGTAACATCAGAATGAAAAATAAAACATTGGAGCTGCATTCATCCTGAAGTGCTTGCTGCTAATCAACTTAGCCACAGTATCCTGAACTTATTTTTCTAAACAAACGTTCTTGATTTTCAACTTTCAACAGATGTTGAACCTCATTTATTCAAAATCACAGATAGTCCAGAAAAGGTTCACTAGGCTGATCCAAGGTATGGAGGGACTGGGGCCTATACTCACTGCAGTTTAGAAGAACGAGAAGCAACCTTCTTGAAATATACAAAGATTCCTAAGGGACCCGACAGGGTAGATGATGAAAGGTTGTTTCCCCTTTTGGGAAGGGTCTAGGACGATAGGGCATAATCTCAGAACAAGGGGTTGCCCATTTAAAACAGAGAAGAGGAATTTCTTCTCTCACAGGGTAATGGATCTGTAGAATTCTTCAGTGAAGGAAATCGCTGAGGCTGGGTCATTAAGTATATTAAAAATCTGTCTATTGCAGCCTTGAATTAGTAAGGGAATCAGAGTTTGGGGAAAAAACAGGAAAAGAGAGTTGGGATTATCAGATCAGCAATGATCTCATTCCATGGCAGAGCAAACTCAATGGGCCGAATGGTCTACTTTTTTCCTACATCTTAGTCATGGAGTGTGAGAACAGGATTAGTACACCATGTTCTGATATGAAGGTCTTAAAAATTATATATAGTATCTAATTGTAAATGAATCACAGAAGGTACTTATAAATAACTTGCACATCAGTTCAAAGTCAGTACCTATTCTCTATAGGTAGTAGGATGAATTTTTCATTTTGGTGCAGTGGTCTTCAACCTGAGTCACTGGGAAAAAAACAATTCCTGCATCCCCACAGTTGGGAGGTGGCACCCAGGAACATGAATTTCAAATCCTTACAGGTCTCCAATTACAAAAATGACCTTGATTTGTACATTACAATTGGAGCTTTAACCTAGAGACATTCTAGCAAATCCTTGAGGATATAATTTCCCCCTTACAGAACAAACCTACAGAATTCTGAAGTGGAATTTCTTCAGTATAAACTATAAAGGGAGCACAAGAGGGAAGCACAGAGCCTTAGACTAATTGAGCTTATTCAGAATTGGGGAACCATAATATTAATTATAATGTGCAGCAGTCCATTCAGTGCAATAAGTAATGTCATTATGTAAAACACTCTTTGCTATAAAGTATTGCACGAGGTATATACTCAGCATAAAAACTTGCTTACTTCTAAAGCAGCTCAATACAATGCCTGAGGTAGGTCCTTGCTCAAGATGATGAACAATAAAATGTTGAACTGTCTGCATCTTTCAACAGTAAATTGATGTTTCATGAGAAGACCTCCTACTAGAACTCTAGTTCAGACAACAAGTCCATTCCTGAAACATCAGTCCGTTATTTCTCTCATGAGCCAACAGCCAATGGACTGTTGTTTAAGATCTAGTTCTGCAGAACTACCAACTAACCTGGTGCATGCAGGACCCGTCCAAAATTATTTGGGATAATTCCTAGTTGATGATCAAATGGAATGCAAGGGTCAATGGGATAGCTTTTATAGCCAATGCTGCTCAGCACTAATCCACACTCCAGATCTTCAACGTCTTCTGTTTGCACGAACTTTGCAGACTCTCCTAAACCCTCAGGAAAAAGAGGAAGGTTCTCCAGTAGTTAAACCAAACCTATATAAGCTCAGAGATTTTCTCCTCCAGCATTGAAGGTGCAGAATAAGTTGTAACATTAATGGTCCAGTTATCAAGAAGATCAAACAAAATAAGCATTTAAGTGAACATTTGATATATCAATTCAAGTTGATCTAGGATATTTAACATAGCAAAAACAGCCCATGGCAATTTTCAGAAGTGCTATCAATTTATATTTGACGCTAAGACACATTAGGAATAAATTTTGACTATTGAGGCATGTGGAGATAATACTTTGAAGGCAAAGCAGAGATAGCAGCTCACTATCATCTTTTCAAGGACGATAAAGAATGGGCAACAAAAACACTGGCCTAGCCAGTGTGACCTTCATATCCCAAGAAGGGTTTTGCTTTTAAATTCATGATTTTTTTTTTTTTTTTTAAAAAAAAAAGCACAGATGCAAAGTGCAAGGGCCAGATGGCCTCCTACTGTTTCCATTTCTTATATTCTGAGAACAAGTCACCAAAAGGTTGGTCAAAGAGATCAGTCTTAATGAGCATTTTAAATAGAGGAAAGAAATAGAGAGGTGCAGACAGTTTGAAGGGAATTCAGAAGCTTGTGGCCCAGGCAGGCAAAGATATGGCAAGCATCAGGGATATAAGAGACCAGAACTGAAAGTGCATAGTAAGCATTGCCTACTTACAAATCTATAAGGTCTCGCATTTATCTTCACTTATTCTGCCCTCAAACTGCAAGTAAATCTTGAACCTTTGTCTCACACCCAATAAAAGCAAGGGTACTGGTAACCCCAGATGTGGTACACAATGCTAACCAAGCCTACCTCCACTTTGTTAACAGATAGCCGAATCCCAGCTACACGTTTGCCATCGTTACTTGGTATAATTTCCAAGGGGCTCCGTAGGAACTGAAGACCCCATTCCTTGGCAGCTGCAGCTTGGTATTCAGCTTCTTTCCCAGAAGACTTTTCAAGTGCAGTTTTTATCATGAGCTCAGTTAGCCGTTTCCTTGGTCTTGGCAGGTCTGGAAAGTAACAGAAGGGAGAATTTAAATTAAGCAATTTTCTTCATTATTTCACTGATATGGACTTTGCTGGCAAAGTCAGTATTTGTTGCCCGTTTATGACCTGCTAGGCCAACAGAATTCAACCATATTTATTTGGATCTAGAGTCACCAAATTTTTATTAAATCAATTTAATAAAACAAGGACTTTAATTGCATTCTAATTCCATGGAAGGATTCAAACTCCGGTCTCCAGAATGTGGGCGGCACGGCGGTTAGCACTTTTACCACACAGCACCAGGGACCCGGGCGACTGTCTACGTGTTTGCACGTTCTCCCAGTGTCTGCGTGGGTTTCCTCCTGGTGCTCCGGTTTCCTCCCACAGTCCAAAGATGTGCAGGCTAGGTGGATAGGCCATGCTAAATTGCCCATAGCATTCATGGATGTGTAGATTAGGTGGGTTATAGGGTGATGGGTCTGGGTGGACTTGTTGGGCCGAAAAGGGCCTGTTTCCACACTGTAGGGATTCTATGACTCTATGATCTCCAGACTACCAATCTAGCAATACCACCACTAGGCCATCATCACCTCCCCTAGGAACCTTTACTTGGTTTCTTAAAGAGAAAAATGTGGGAGGAGACTTGTGGTGTACCTTGCAGGTTACTGCATACAAACAGAGCCTACAGGAAGTAATACCCATGATCAAGTACCAAAAGACAATGCAATAAATGAAAAATTAAGAGATTCTAGGTTTGTAACCAAGTTTTCCAAAGAGAAGGTAGGA